TGCGGGGCTTGCTGCGTCGGCAAACTTCGCAAGGGTCGCAATACCGAGTGACATCGGTAATGAGGTCGGGCCATCGGAATCGCTGTCGAAGCCGTGCAATAGTGCGGTTGACTCCGAAATGGCCGGCGAGTCGTGAGCCATGGTACTCGCCGAGGAGGCGAGTCCGAAGACGACGGTCGCGTGGGACACATAGTAAGTCCTTGCCTCTCGAGTGGAGGAGAAAGTACCCGTCGGCAATGCGGAAATGGATGGCCGGCGGGTGATCCGAAGATAGTTGTGCATAGAGCGTGTCGAAGTCCGGATCAGACTGATATGCCCGGATGAAGTGTCGCTGAAGCTCCTCGTCGAATGCGAAGGCATGATGTGACATAGCGCAAAGATCAGGTCTTCGCGAGAGTGCATCTGCTGTGCGATTGGAGAGGCCGGGGACATGTTTTGGTGTGAAGTCAAATTGGTCGATGAAGTACATCCATCGTTCGATCGTGCTGCTCACCGTGTCCTGCGTCTTGGTGTAGGTCAATGGATTGTTGTCTGTGACCCATGTGAACCTACGACGCCCAAGGAGGAAGTGCCGCCAGCGCTTGAGAGCCATCACGAATGCGAGCAACTCATTCTTCCTTGCATCATCGAGCAAGTTGATGGGAGGCACTTTGTGGCTGAAATACTCCACAGGGTGCCAGTCGTCGCCGTCGTGCTGTTCCAAGACTGCCCCAATGCCATAGTCGGAAGCGTTCGTAGTCACTCGCGTCGGCAGGGTGGGGTCATAGATGCTAAGGACGGGTGCCATGAGCATAGCCGTCTTAAGTGCTTGGAATGAGCGGCGTGCGTCGTCATCGAATATGAATGGCACCTTTGGCGACTGTAATCTCGTCATAGGTGCAACAATCCTGGAGTATCCGGTGATGAATCGCTGATAGTAGCCCGCCAACCCCATGAATGAACGAACTTCCGTGGTGTTGGTGGGCTCGGGCCATACTCGTAGGGCCTCAATCTTGTCCGCAAGCGGACGGATGCCTTGCGGCGTCACCTAGTGTCCCAAGTACTCCATCTCCTGTTGTGCGAACTCGCACTTGTCGCGGTTTGCTTTGTACTTGGCCTGTCGTAGCCACTCCAAAACGGTGTGCAGGTGTTCCACATGCTCGTCCAGGCTCCGACTGTAAACCAGAATGTCGTCGAGGTAGATAAGTACGAAACGATCCAGCATGTGTCGGAACTCCGTCATCATAGCCGCTTGGAAAGTGGTTGGGGCATTCGTAAGGCCAAATGGCATGACCAGCCATTCGAAATGCCCATACCGTGTCTTGAACGCGGTCTTGTAGCGATCCTCCTTGCGAATCTCGAGCTGGTGGTACCCTGACTTGAGATCCAGCTTAGAGAAGAACTGGGCGCCGCCCAATCGCTCGAGAAGGTCGTCGATGCGTGGGAGAGGGCCGGCGTTCCTGATCGTCTGCGCGTTGAGCTTGCGATAATCGATGCACAACCGCAGGTCCTTGTTCTTCTTCCGGACGAAGAGAACAAGAGCACCGTATGGCGATGAGCTAGGTCGAATCCAGCCTTTCTCCAGAAGGTCGTCGAGTTGTGCCCGAAGCACACTTAACTCTTCCTCGCTCATTCGGTAGATGCAACCGCGCGGAGGTACGGCCCCATCCTCGAGGATGATCTCGTGGCGGATGGGTCGATTCGGTACTACTCCGTGCGGGCCTTCGAACACGTCGCTGTAGGCGTCGAGAAGTTCAATGATGCGTGGATCCGAAGGTGAGTCCGTCGATGAAGCGTCATGGGGCGGGAGGGCGTGGAGAAAACACACCCCCATCTCCTCAATGTCGTCTCTGATGATGGAAGCCCGCATGCTTGCGGCGGATACCACGTGGCAGCTGATCGAAGGATGAGGAAGAGGCACTGTGCATGAAACTAATACTCCGTTCCGGTCACGAACGTGAACGGTGCGATTGAAGAAGTTCACCGGGTGATCCTTGCTTCGCAGCCATGACATGCCCAAGATCATGTCGAATTTGGTGTCCAGAATGTCAAAGGACACCGCCTCACTTGCGTGAGGGGCAAAGTACACTGGGACGGCGTCAATGCACCGGTCGATGGACTTGTGTGTATGACCGTCTGCCAGAGTGACTTGCGTAGGCTGGGACTTCCTCCGGACACGTGGGCCAAGGCCGGCGCGTACCATGAAGTCCTGGCTGATGTAGTTGCGAG